GCTTCTTGCTAACACGTATCCTGAGAGCAGCAGGTGATGGTCAGAATGCAACACCTGTGGGAGACCTACTTGGGCATCTTCACTCCTGGCTTCTAGTCCCAGCTGGCATGGGTATCCGGAGCGTGAATACCTTTCTCTCTTGTTCTCTCTCTCCTCTTCTCTTTCAAAGAAGCAACAACAACAAAGAAGCAGGAAAAAAAGGTGTATGTCACTGTTTCATCATCTTCATCCTTTTCAAAGAAGCCTCAACTGTGTTTTGATTTAAATTCCAATCAGATGGAAAAAGCGTTAGAGTAGAGCCTGCCTTGCAAGAGCTTTCTGAATATTTGCACAAAATTTTTCTTACAAAGAAAATAATATAAATAATAATATAAATAATACAAATAAAAGATAACGTGTAATTATAACTAACAAATAAAATAATTGTGGCATATATATGATGGGTATATCCTACACACACACACACACATATATACATATATATATACACACACACATATATATATAGACTGGAATATAATATAACTATACGTTGACCAACCAGAAATATCAGATTGGTTCAGTATTTGAAAAATCAGGCAGTGTAATTCATGACGTTAAAAGATCAAAGAAGGGGCCCGGTGCGGTGGCGCAAGTGGTTAAGGTCCTCGCCTTGCACGCCCGGGATCCCATATGGGCGCCGGTTCTAATCCCGGCAGCCCCGCTTCCCTTCCAGCTCCCTGCCTGTGGCCCGGGAAAGCAGTCGAGGACGGCCCAAAGCTTTGGGAAACTGCACCCGCGTGGGAGACCCGGAAGAGGCTCCTGGCTTCGGATCAGCATAGCATCGGCCATTGTGCTCACTTAGGGAGTGAATCATCGGACGGAAGATCTTCCTCTCTCTGTCTCTCCTCTCTGTATATCCGCCTTTCCAATGAAAAAATAATAAAAATAAATCTTTAAAAAAAAAAGATCAAAGAAGAAAAGTCATATGATAAAGCAGATCAATTTTATTAAGAGAAATCCAATAGATGCTGAGAAGTTTTTGACAAAATTCAACAGCTACTCACATTAAAAACAAACTCATCAGATATAGTAGGAATCTCCCCTTAAGCTAATAAGGGAAACTTACCAAGAAGCAAAATCTAACATAATATTTAATGGTAAATAACTAAATGCTATCAGGAACAAAGCAAGACTATTTATTCTCATTGTTGCTATTTAATATCGTAATGGAGATCCTAACCAGCAAAGTAAGGCAACAAAGCAACAACAGGCATTCAGAAACACAATTGTCTGTTTGCAGATGGCAAAATTGTCTATGTGGAAAAACTGCCAAAAATAGGTCTAAAATCTAAATGAGCTATGCAAGATCAACACACTAAAGTTAATTGTATATTTTTGCATATTAGAAATGAACAATTAAAGCTTTTTTTTTAAGAAAATACTTATTTTATTTTTATTGGGAAGTCAGCTATACAGAGAGGAGGAGAGACAAAGAGGAAAATCTTCCATCCATTGATTCATTCCTCAAGCAGCCGCAACAGCCAGAACTGAGCTGATCTGAAGCCAGGAGCCTGGAGTCTTCCACACGTGTGCAGGGTCCCAAGGCTTTGGGCCGTCCTCAACTGCTTTCCCAGGGTACAAGCAGGGAGCTGGAAGGGAAGTGGAGCAGCTGGGATTAGAACTATGTGCCTATATGGGATTCCAGTGTGTGCAGGGTGGGGACTTTAGCCACTAGGCTACAGTACCAGGCCCAAGCAATTAAAACGTTTAAAATATTGGGACTGGTGTGGTGGCACTGCAGGCTGCTCCTCTGCTCTGTGAGCCACCATCCCATATGGGTGCTAGTTCACATCCCGCTGCTCCATTTCCATTCTCTGTTGCCTGGGAAAACAGTGGAGAACTGTCCAAATCCTTGGCCCTTTGCACCCATGTGGGAAACCCAGAAGAGGCTCCTGGCCCCCAGCTTTGGCTCAGCTCAGCTTTGGCCATTGTCGCCACTTGGGGTAGTTAACCGGCAGATGGAAGGCATTGTCTCTGTCCCTACTCTCTCTGTAAAAAAAAATTGCTTTCCAGTTAAAACAAATAAATAAAGCATATAAAAAAAAAGAAATCTAAACCATTAAGTACTGTTCACAACAACCCCCTCAAAATATATGAACTATTTAGGTACGCATATTTATTTACTAAGACTAATTTGTAAGTCAGTGTTACAAAGAGAGAGAGAGAGATCTTCTATGCACTGGTTCAGCAGCCAGGAGCTTCATCCAGGTCTCCCACATGGGAGGCAGGGGTCACCTTCTTCTACTCTTTTCAGGCTATTAGTAGGGAGCTGAATCCAAAGTGTAGCAGCTAGAACTCCAACCAGTGCCCATACAGCATGCCAGCGTCACAGGCAGTGGCTTGACCAGCTGTGCTACAATCCCAGTTCCCCAGGCAAGGATGCAAATACATCAACTGAAAAGTACAAAGCATTGACAAGAGAAAAATCTAAGACCCAAACAAACGAAGAGAGAAAGGCTATTCCTGGGTCGTAAGATTCAATGTCATAATGTCACCTTTCTTTCTTTCTTTCCTTCTCTCCTCTCTGTCCCTATCACTCTTTCAAATGGGTAACTCTTTAAAAAGGTAAAACTGAGCAAATGAACTTTTAGAATTTATGAAAGGAAATTTACCAAAAAAGAGACATATCAAGAAAAAAAAAATTAGAGATCAAATCTTTGACAAAGGTCTTTTATTGGGATTGCCAGAGACTTAACGCATGCATGACCAACTAAGACACATGAGCGTCAAAGAAAGGGCTCAAAGTGAGATACTACTTCACATCTGTTATGATGTAGTTAAAATTATTTAAAAAGCAAGAATAGTAAGTGTTGGAGACAACCAAAGCAACTGACTCAGAAAATAAATCCTTCTGCCATACTGGACGATGGTTCCACAGTTCCCTGTAAGTTAAACATGCATGGCTCTGCTTGGGTGGCCATCCCACTCCTAATCCACTTAAGAGAAACAGAGTTCACTTCATCCCAGAAAGAAAAACTCTACAGAAAACCTGAAGGAACTTAAGTATCCTAACAGTGATAGAACCATAAACTGTGGTACATTCATGTAGTGGTCTGTACTCACTGGCAAGGATGAACCAACTAGAGAGTGGACAACACAGAAGAATCCAGACAGAGGTCTTGCTAAGGAAGTAATTCCAGATCAAGACTGCACCACCTTCTGGTTTCACTCCAGGAATGGCAAAGTCCTAGGTGCAGGAATCACACTGGTGAGTGCCAGCAGCAGGAGATGGGAGAGGGATCATTGCTGAGGGGCAGCATACAGGCACCCTTGTAGGAGACAAAACTCGCCTTGTGGGGACACAGAGCGGGAAGCGCTCAACAGAGAGTAAAGAGAGGAAAGTACTGTGTTCACACCAACGCGCTCCAGCTCCGGCCACCTGTGATGGCAGAGTCTCCATGGCCGGAGGAAATTGCATCATCCGCTTCTCAAACTGGGCAAAGCAGGAGCCCCCCGGGAGAATCAGGAAAACAGGGTAAATGCCTTATTAGATTGTCAGCATGCTTTTCATAAACAGACTATCTTTTCAGACTTGAGAGTCTGTTGAAAGACCTCTGTCTCCCATATTTGTTTTTCAAGGCCCGAGTTGCACAGATCCAGCCTAAGACAGCGCTACCGTTGTTCAGACATTGTACAGATTCCAGGACCTGGTCCTCCAGGGAAGTCAGCCATCTGCTGACTCCAGGCTTTGTAATGCAAGACTGGTGTTGTGGGGCCCCAGGAGACCTCACAGTAGGGTGGCCCCACAACTCCAGCTTTGTGAAATGCCATACAACAGCGTCTTGTGTCATTGCTCAGCTATCCACATGGGGGTAGTGGACTGGAAGAATTTCATTTTCTAGCAGATTTCAAAAGATTCTGGATCCAGAATTCCTTTCAGGGAAGACTCCTTCTGCCTTAACTGGGTCATCCATACATCTGGATCTTTGTAATCGAATCACCTAGCCGGTCAGCCTTAGTCATCTGGATTCGTCAGCCCCTATGCAATGTCACTGAATCATTCTATCCTTATGAAGAAAAATGGGTTTACATCTGGAAGCTAACAATATTAGTAATATGATTTAAGCTGTAATGGGGAACTCACTAAATAAAATCACATTATAATTTGAAAAGAAATTTCTAACAAATATATTTTCATTGGATAAAACTTGTAACATCATCAAGAAGAGTTGGCAGATACTGGATCTTTCTAATTAACATACTGAGTAGATCTTAATGGATGTCTGTCCGAGCCCCACAGAGGAGCTTCAGAACCATTTCTACCCATTATCACAAGGCTAAAATGTCCCAGCACCAGCCCTCCTTGAATAATCTGAGATTAGATCTATCTCATTTTTCTTTGGTTCCTCAGAGGAAATAAGAGGGAAAGATGGGTTATGGATGGGTACCATTTGTTGCTGAGTTCTTTATTGTAAGGCGAAGAGAATAGTTTTTTTCAAAGATTTATTTATTTTTATTGGAAATTCAGATGAGAAGCAGAGACAGAGAGGAAGATCTTCCATTTGCTGACTTACTCCCCCAGTGGCCACACTGGCCAGAACTGTGCTGATCCAAAGCCAGGAGCCAGGAGTCTCTTCTGGTCTCCCACACAGGTGCAGGGTCCCAGGGCTCTGGCCGTCCTCGACTACTTTCCTAGGCCACAAGCAGGGAGCTGGACAGAAAATGGGGCCACTGGAATTAGAACCGGTGCCCCTATGGGATCTGGCTCATGCAAGGCTAGGACTTCACTGCGCCGGGCCCTGAAGAGAACACTTTTTGGAAACATCCAACAGGCCAGGTGCATGGGTCTGGTGGAATTCCAGATGAGGTTGGCTCAAGAAGGCACGGTGAGGGCTGCCCTGAATCTCAGGGAGGATGACGGGGTCTACCCTGGAAGAATTTCTCTCCTTAAGAAGCCAGCAGATGGGTAAGCACGCTGAATGCTCAGAATACTATCATCATAGGCTGCTTTCACGCAGGAGTGGACAGACTACAAGTTACGCTGGAACCCTGATGACTACGGTGGGATTCACTCCATCAAAGTTCCCTCGGAGTCCCTCTGGCTGCCTGACATAGTGCTTTTTGAAAAGTAAGTACTACAGAAGGTCAGATAGGCATCAGCAGTAGCAAATTAATGCTTCATAAGATCATACAATGATTTTTTTTTTTTTTTTTTTTTTTTGCTTAGTAGGTCCTTTATTCCAGCAGGGCAGGAATGGTAGAAGGGGTGGAGGTGGAGAAAACTAGAAGAGACGCGTCCCCCGCCATGGTTGCAGGGTGAGGGGCCGCCAGGGCAAGGAAAGGGGGCAAGATGGGGCAAGGAAAGGGGGCAAGATGGAGGACGGGGCAAAGCCAAGTCTCTTTTTTTATTTTTAATTAATGATTGAGAGAAATGCACAATGTTGATGCAAATGAAACAATGATCTCATTAATCGTAGTAGGAAATAATAAAATATAGAGAATGATGATGGGGGAAAAAGCCCCCAAGTGGTCAGGACTCAGCTCCCCTCTCCCAGGTGATCAGGGTTCAGCCCCCCAGGTGATCAGGGCTCAGGTCCCTCCCCCCCCAGGTGGTCAAGGCTCAGCTCCTCCCTCCCAGGTGATCAGGGCTCAGCTCCCCTCTCCCAGGTGATCAGGGCTCAGCTCCCCTCTCCCAGGTGATCAGGGCTCAGTTCCCCCAGGTGGTCAGGGCTCAGCTCCACAGCACCATGAACCTACTTTCCTCACAGTGCCGACGGGCGATTTGAGGGCTCCCTCATGACCAAGGTCGTTGTGAACGCCAATGGAACGGTGGTTTGGACGCCTCCCGCCAGTTACAAGAGCTCGTGCACCATGGATGTCACTTTCTTCCCCTTCGACCGGCAGAACTGCTCCATGAAGTTTGGCTCGTGGACTTACGACGGCACCATGGTCGACCTCATCCTGATAGATGAGAACGTTGACAGGAAAGACTTCTTCGATAACGGAGAATGGGAGATACTTAACGCCAAGGGCATGAAGGGAAGCAGAAGGGACGGCCTGTATTCCTACCCCTTTATCACCTACTCTTTCGTGCTGAGGCGCCTGCCTCTGTTTTACACCCTCTTTCTGATAATCCCTTGCCTGGGACTGTCCTTCCTCACGGTGCTGGTCTTCTACCTGCCTTCCGATGAGGGCGAGAAGCTCTCACTGTCCACGTCTGTGTTGGTGTCTCTGACCGTTTTCCTCTTAGTCATTGAGGAAATCATCCCTTCTTCCTCAAAGGTCATCCCTCTCATTGGCGAGTACCTGCTGTTCATCATGATTTTCGTGACTCTGTCCATCATCGTGACGGTTTTTGTGATCAACGTCCATCACAGATCTTCATCCACGTACCATCCCATGGCGCCTTGGGTGAAGCGCATCTTCCTGCAAAAACTTCCTAAACTGCTTTGCATGAAGGATCACGTGGATCGATGCGGTTTCCCTGGTAAAGAGGAAAGCGTACGAGGAGGGAAAGGTCAATTCCTGGGCAACAAGAGGATGAAGCAGATGAGTGATGGAGAGAAAGTCCTGGTCGCTTTCTTGGAAAAGGCTGCAGATTCCATCAGATACATTTCAAGTCATGTGAAGAAAGAACATTTTATCAGCCAGGTGAGTACTCTGGTGTTCACAGTCCTGCTGTCCCTACTGCGTGCTCTCACACCTAGTTAGAGCAGCGTGATGCTGTGCTTGCGGTGGGATGTGGCTCTGCATCCTGGCTACACAAGGCAAGCCCTGAGTGTGTGAACTTTGGCAGCAAGAAGATCACAGAAAGATAATGAATGCAGTGAACACAGCTGTAATGCAGCTCCACTCCTGAAATGCAATGGAGCCCAACTCCAGTTAAAACAGTTCACTTATACATTATAACCTGGTAAACCTGGTCTTGTTTGCTTGCTGGATGGGAAACAGGGCTGCCAGATTAGAACAGGCGCCCATATGGTTTCCCGGCGCATGCAAGGTGAGGACTTTAGCCGCTAGGCTACCGTGCCAGGTCCTATATTATATCTAATTTTCATGGAATCATAGACATTGTCAACTATGGTACCGAGAATAAAAAGAGCAAAAATGGAAACTAAACACATATCATAGGAGAGGTTTTGGTGAGAGAAAAAGGAAGCAGCTACTCAGCTTCCAGATTTGCTTAAAGGTTGAAGGGGTGAGGGTATCAGACTTAAAACCCTACCTTCTCCTGGGAGTCTTGAGACTTCTGAAACCTGTCTCAAAGGGACACAGTGAGGAATAATGACATCAAATACCGTAGTATATCAGGTTAGCCTGCGGCACTGGCTTTCTATATTGAACTCAAGTCCCGGCTGCTCCACTTCCCTGCTGACACGCCTGGAAAAGCAGCAGTGCATGGTCTAGGTCCTTGGTCCTCTGTGTTCACATGGAAGACCTGGAAGGAACTTCTGGCTTTCTGCTTCAGCCCAGCCCAACCCCAGCTATTGTGGCCTTTTAGGGGATGGACCAGCAGGTAAAAGATCTCTCTCTCTCTCTCTTTTCTCTCCTTCTGTCTCTCTGTAACTCTGCCTTTCCAAAAAACAGTATGTTCAACAAATGTGGTTGTGTGACCAGTCAGTGAATGTTTATGCTCACTGTCACCTGCTCCCCGGAGGAGTGGATTCCTGTCGTCTCCTCGGTCAGTCCGCTCCCTCACCAGCAGCAGCCGTACGTGTGGAGTGCAAGGGCAGGCTACTGCGGCATTTGGCCACAGAAGTCGTTAGGTCATACGTTTGTGGTTACTTTCATGTGTCTCCCAGGAAGCAGGTGGTGAAACACACTAGCTTTTGCCTATCTTGGTCAGCCTGGTCACACTTGCATAAATCATTCTGTTGTGCTTTAATTCACTCAACTCAAGTTGTTTTCTTTATGAAGACACTTGGAGAAGAAAAGAATCACCTCCGAGAGTACCCTGTGATATTCAGCAACCATGTTGGAATGAAAAACTAATTGAATGTTGATACCCAAAGTTGGAAAGCCATACCTATGGAATTTTCCAAAAAGTTCTTTCACCAAGATGAACCTATCTTGTAGTCCACTTTTCGTGAACTTTTTATTTTTATTGGAAAGATAGATTTACAGAAAGAAGGAAACACAAAGATAAAGATCTTCCGTCCACTGGTTCACTCCCCAAATGGCTCCAGCAGCCAGAGCTGAGCCGATCTGTAAGTCAGGAGCCAGGAACTTTCTCCAGTTCTCCCACACGGGTGCAGGGTCCCAAGGATCTGGGCCATCCTTGACTACTTCCTAGGCCACAAGCAAGGAGCTGGATGGGAAGTGGAGCAGCTAGAATGTGAACCAATCTGCAATAGCTGGAGCCAGGAGCTTCTGCCAGATCTCCCAAGCAGGTACAGGGGCCCAAGGCTTTGGGCAATACTTTATTGCTTTCCCAGGCCACAACAGGGAGCTGGAAGGGAAGTGGAGCAGCTGAGATGTAAACCGGCATGCATATGGGATCACAGCACATGCAAGGTAAGAATTTAGCAACTAGGCTACTGCGCTGAGCCCCTTTCTCCATGAACTTTAAAAAAGGGCCACCAGTATAGAAAGTGGTATGTTAGGAGCCTTTCCAAAATCTCATGACAATAAATTTTAAAATCACTGCATTTATGCAACTCCCCATCACCTGGAGCTAAAAGGCATCTTTTTCTTTTTGACAGGTGGTACAAGACTGGAAGTTCGTAGCTCAAGTTCTGGACAGAATCTTCCTGTGGATCTTTCTGAGTGTGTCCATCACCGGCTCCGTTCTGATTTTTACCCCTGCTTTGAGGATGTGGCTGCACAGTTACTACCAGGAACAAGTTTCCAGCGCCATTTAACAAATGTAGTGTAGCGATAAAACTGCACCCCACAACTGACACCCAGCTAGCACACTCGAGTAGACTTAATCCCATTGTGAGTCTCAGTGGGAACTAAACATTACTTCCTGGGGAAAGGCTTAGAAGATGTGGCTTTGTTCTTGCCTTATCTCATGGGCCCTTGCACCCATGGGGGAGTTTCAGGAAAGCTCCTGGGTCCCAACTTCATCCTGGCCCAGCCCCAGGCGTTATGGCTGTTTGGGAAAGATATCAATGAAGGAAAGATTCTTCCTTTCTCTCTCTTCTCCTCCCTCCCTCTTTCTCTGTAACTCTGATTTTCAAATAAGTGAAATTAATCCTTAAAATTTTTAGGGCCCAGTGCTTCAGCTCAATCCTTTGCAAGCATGGCATCACATTTTATATTTCACCTAAATCATCCAGAACTTTCATTCCAAAGGATTTTTGTAGTCCACCTCCCTTTCTTTAAGAATTGTTTCTTGTTCACACCTACCTCATAAACAATTTCACTTGTTCATCACTCTATTTTTTTTAAAGATTTATTTTATTTGTATTGGAAAGACAGATATGCAGAGAGAAGGAAAGACAGAGAGAAAGGTCTTCTGTCCATTGATTCACTCCCCCAAGCGACCACAATGACTGAAGCTGCACCAATCTGAAGCCAGGAGCCATGAGCCTCTTCTGGCTCTCCTACACAGGTGCAGGGTCCCTAAGCTTTTGGCCGTCCTTGATTGCTCTCCTAGGCCACGAGTAGAAAGCTGGATGGGAAGTGGTGCCACTGGTATTAGAACCAGTGTTCGTGTGGGACCTGGCACGTGCAAACTGAGGACTTTAGCTGCTAGGCTATCATGCCGGGCCCATTACTCTGTTTTTTTTTTATATGAAGTTTTCCTCTTCTCTGATTCATGCCCTCTCCCCTCACAGAGAAATACACCATGAGCTAACTATTTTTGAAGGTTTTTGAGTGTGGTAGCATTTACAAACTCTTTTGTTTCTGAAATTCCAATTGATTTTACTGTCACGCTTGAATAGCAATATGGCTGAGCATGGAATTCTGGTTCAAAATAATTTTCCCTCAAAACATGAAACATGATTCCTTGCTGTTGTAGATGACAGACACGATGAGCAGGAAATCTTACTCCTGATCTTGTCTTCTCCTTCCTGGAACTCTCACGTTTTTCTCGTAGTCTTTGGAATTTGTAAATGGCACCTGTGTGTTTATAAGCACAGGGCATCCTCTTCCCTCTCTCTTCCTTTCTCTCTCCCTTGGAGCATTTGATGATGAATGTTTTCTTCAACTTGTGTGAATTTTCTTCTTCTTAAAAAAAATAGCTCTTTCAGGCCTGGAGCAATGGCTGAGTGGCTAAATCCTCACCTCGCACATGCCGGCGTTTCATGTAGGTGCTGGTTCGTGCCCTGGCTGCTCCACTTCCCATCCGGCTCCCTGCCTGTGACCTGGGAAAGCAGTAGAGAATAGCCCAAGTGGTTGGAATCCCGCACCACATGGGGACCCAGGAGAAGCTGCTGGCTCCTGATTTCAGATTGGCTCGCCTCTGGATGTTGCAGCTACTTGGGGAGTGAACCAGTGGATGGAAGATCTTTCTCTGTATCTCCTTCTCTGTAAATCTGCTTTTCCAATAAAAGTGGATACATCTTTTTAAAATCTTTTTCTTTCTTTCTTTTTTTTCCCTTCTTTTCTTCTTTCCTTCCTTTCTTCCTACCTTCCTTCCTTCCTTTCTTTCTTGTCAGAGTTACTGAAAGAAACATAGAAATCTTCCATCTGCTGATTCACTCCCCAGATGCCTGCAACATCCAGGCTTGAGCCAAAGCCAAGTACAAGGAATTTCATCTTGGTCTCCCATGTGGATGGCAGAGACACAAGGACTTGAGCTTATCTTCTGTTGTTTTTTTCCCAGGCCTAATCCAGGAAGTTGAATTGAAAGTGGAGTAGCCCATATAAGATGCTAGCATTTACAGATAGTAGCTTTACCTGCTGCACCACAAAGCTGACCTCGCAACTTCTCTTATTTTTCCTGTTACTTCCGTCCTTGCTCTTCTTTCTTTTGACATCTCTAACAGAGGTGTTGCATTCCTGTTAGCTTATTCGTTTTCCCTGTGTGGTTGACCTCTTTAGCCTTCACACTGTCATCCTGGAGTTACAGCAAATGATTCTGATCTGCAGCTATTGTCTGCTCCACTACTCGGTTCAGCTACCCAGGCGGGAGCGTGTCTGTTCATGGATCCATCGTGTGCTGGAGTGCTGAGGACTCTGGTTCTTCTTTATGGATGTCAGGCACTCTGCGATAGTCCAGGAGACACCAGTGAGAGCTACTTCAAAGTCTTCTGTTTGCATTGAAATTTTTCTTCAAGTTAACTCTAACACTGATTTTTGTTTAAAATGTGTTTATTTTTATTGGAAAGTCAGATTTACAGAGAGAAAAAAAGAGACAGAGAGGAAAATCATCCATCAGTGGTTCACTTCCCAAGTGGCTGCAATGACCCAAGCTAAGCCAACCTGCAGCTAGGAGCCAGGAACTTCCTCAGGGTCCCCCACATGAGTGCAGGGTCCCAAGGCCTTGGGCCATCCTCTTTTGCTTTCCTAAGCCACGAGCAGAGTGCTAGGTGCGAAATGAAGCACCCATATGGGACGCCAGAGCTTGAGGGAGAGATATAGCCATTTGAGCCATCACACCAGGCCCTTTAACACTGATTTTTTTTTAAGATTTATTTACTTTTATTGGAAAGGCAGATCAGATTTATGGAGAAAAGGAGAGACAAAGAAAAAAATCTTCCATCCACTGGTTCACTCCCCAAGTGGCCACAACAGCTGGAGTTCAGCCAATCCTAAGCAAGGAGCTTCCTCCAGGTCTCCCATGTGAGTACAGGGCGCCAAGGCTTTGGGCCATTGCGTATCAGTCTCCCAGGTCACAGGCAGAAAGCTGGATGTGAAGTGAAGCAACTGAAACACAAATTGGTGCCCATAGGGAATGCCAGTGCTTGCAAAGCAAGGATATAGCCATTGAGCCAAAGAGCCAGGCACTAACACTGATTTATTAAAAATGAATTTATTTGATCTATTTGAAAGGCAGAATTATAAAGAAAGAAAGAGAGAGAATCTTCTACCACTGGTTGACCCCTGAGTGCTTACCACAGCCAAAGCGAGACCAGTCTGCAGCCAGAAACCAGGATCTTCTCCCCAGCCTCCCACATATACACAAGGGTCCAAATGCTTGGATCATCTTCTGCTACTTTCCCAGGTGCATTAGCAGGGACCTGGGCTAGAAGTAGATTAGCCAGGACTTGAACTGATGTTCATGTGGATGTGGGCTTGCAGGTGAGGCTTAAACAGTTGTGTTGGTTCGGTGGGAGGTTCCACGCCCTGCCCTGGCTGCTCAGTCTCCAGCAGCTCTTCCCATTGCGGCCAGGACAGCTGGCCCTTGTGTAAGCTACCTTCTGTGCAGACTCAGCATTCCAAACATTCTTGGATGAAGTGTCCACGTGGCTCTGGCAGGGTGATGGAGTCACTTCTGCTCAGCCCCAATCCTTGCTCCATCTCTCTTTCCCTCATGTCCCTGGCTCCTTCCTCTGGGAATCAGACACTTACTCCCTCTCCTAGGCCTACACATGTCCGGCTGTGCTCAATTCTTACGACACAGAGATGTGCGATAGTGAACAGATATGGTACAATTGCTCCCTGTAACCTGCACCCCTGTTCTGGAACATTTCATGGTATGTGTGTGTACGTTGTGGAACGTTCAGCCTCTGTGTACGCAGCCATTACTTCTCTGCATACATTTTAGATTGCTAAAAGGGGGACCACATGGTGAACTGAAACCCTGGGCCCAGGAATTTGAGTTCTAGAGTTGGTGGGGGACCTTCTGTGAGCTACTTGTCATCTCTGAGTGTAAGTTTCCCTGTCGGTAGTAGGATTTTATGATTCATGACCTTTGAAGCGTTTCTCTGGTTTGAAGATTTTCCTGGAGCTTTCACAATTTTTAAATCACTCAACTTAAAAATTGTAACCTTATTCTCTAAGGACAACATAATCTGCTTTAGGACCGGATTTGTAAGAATACATTGTGATGAAAATGAAGGCTTCTCAGCCGGAGATCCTAGATGGGATTCTGGATTCAAAGGGCAACTCCTTGTTCTTTCCCCTTTTATTGCTATTGACTTTAGCTCTTCGCTTTAACTCATTAGTTTGCTAGGTAAATGACAACCTTCATCTTAGGAAAATGTGCTCAGGTCTGAATTCAATTTAAAGCTTTGAAAAATACCAGCCTGAAACACTTTCCATAGCGAGCCTCTTTATGATCAAACACAAGCACAGGAAAGACCAACCCTCATCTGTGTACTTGCAGCTTAAGCCTCGTGGAAGCCCAGAGGGGAGATGATGATAGCCATTTCAAGCGTGCAAAAGGATAAATAGTCCTAGCACATCGTGACAACCCCAGGGAAGTAACCGCAAAAGATAACTGCCAAACAAAGGAAAATTATGAAACTCTATGTATTTATTCATTTATTTGAAGGTTGAGCAACAGAGAGAGAGGAATAAGCAGAGAAAGAGAATATGCACCCACTCACTGGCTCACTACCCAAATAAACACAATGGCCAACGGTGAGCCAACCAAAACCAAGATCCAGTGACTCCATCCTAGTCTTCTTCATTGGTGACAGGGGGCCCAAACCTTCAAGCCACTTTCTCTTGCCTTCCCAGCCACATCAGCAGGAAGCTGGATTGGAAACAGAGTAGCTAGGCACTTGGATGCCAGGGTCACGAACAGCCGCTTAACCCACTGTGCTGCAACACTGGCCCCAGAAAGCAAAGAAAAAATATTTTTAATTTTGTTTTTCATGATACAGTTCCATAGGCTCAGGGATTTCTCCTCCCACCCTCCCCCTTTACCCTCCTCACCACTGTTTTCCCCTGTATTATAATAGTATAGTCCTTCGGTAACATTCAGAAGCCCATCATTCTGCTATTTAAATGTATCGTGGCATTG